TTCAACAAATCTTCATGCGACTTCAACTGCTAACTGCTCCTTCTTCAACTGCTAACTGTTCATTCATACTTTCACTCAGAAACCTCATTCCAACTATAAAATGTTACACATCTTTCTGACATTATTCGTGTAACACAACTTTTAAATCTGATTCTTACTTTTAGAGATATTAAACATTGTTCAGACCTTGGTAAAGAGGTTTTCTTCAGATTTTAACATTAACTAGAGTGCGTGGTGTCACAGCTAGAGGGTAGCAAATCTTGAAATGTGCCTTCATATTTTTTTTTAAAACTGCCATAATTCCCAAACCCTACATTCTTGAGACATAATTATTCATGATAAACGTAGGAAAACATCTCGTAGCTTGAAAAATGATAAATAATTAAGCAAATATAATTAAACAAAATGCCTCTTGAGGGCATGAAGTGACAAAAACGTTCAACATGTCTCCATTAAAGCCCATTGTAATTTCAGGCAGATATTTCCTCACAGCAGCAGCCGCACACCTTTAGTTAAACTGCCAAAAAGGCCACATTATTAACCCGAAAGTACACAAAAAGTACACTTCAGATACTCAACTTCCTTGACATGCTTCACGTTTTGAAATTTCACAGATATCTGTTATCGTTCTTCCACAAAACGTTCACATGTAAGAGGTTCATCTCTCATTCAGAACAATGAAACCTTTGAAGTCTAGGCACCTCGTTAGCTCTACGCCAAATCTGAGATCTCACCATATGCCGTTTCCATGGAAACGCATCCCTCGCCATAAAAGACGATGTCGCTATAACTCCTATGAAAATGTTCAAAAAGTGCTAAAACTTCACATGTGTGCTAACAGTCCAGCCGTGAAGACATCTACGGGACAGTTTTGAGATTTCTTCAAATGCCGTTGGCATGGCGACAGATCATTCACCATCAAGTTAGTTCAAAGGTTTGCAGTTCAAATATTCTGCTGCTTTTCCAAGCCTTTTTACTTTCTTTTCTTCTCTCATCACACATTCAAGCCCCCAGTGTTCATGTATCCTTTCAATCTAAATTCTTCACTTTCTTCTTACACATTACTTTTCAGCATAAAGCATTCCCACTAGCAATTTCTTCAGGAATTGCATTCTCTAGTTATGATTTAGTTGTTGCAACAAACAAACAACAATGGGAAGTACATCACCTGCTGCCACAGCAGCTAATGGCAGAAACGCCCCCAAGAACAGAAGAAACACAGGGCTAGATATACTTTTCTAAATGACACACGAACATGTTCCCCAAACATGTTTAACGCACACACATTTTATCATGCAGCCTACCACACAAATGTCACATGTGTTTCTCTCTGAAAGCTATACCTGTATATGTTTAAACGTCATCATCTCATGACATCTTTAGGAGCAGTTAACTAACAACGGTTAACTGTTTTTTATAACCCGAGGCCTTCTCTGAACTTCCTTTACCCTCGGTGTCAGCTCACTTCAAATGAATACATCTATTGATAATTCAGAACGACCACTGTCTCTCTAACTGTGTGTGACCCAACTCAGTAACACACATCATATAGCTTAGCATGTGATCTCTAATAAATATCAGAAATACACTGTATTAAACATTCTGCCATAACACTTCCTCCTTTTATTAATTAAGATCACTTAATCAAAAAAGATTATTATTACAAGTAACCTACTGAGTTCCGCCCTCGAAAGCCCAAAATGACTTTCTGAAAAACATTTATCAATGGGTAATCATTTTACTCAAGGCAGAAGTCACAGGTCACCTGTACTGTACCTACTCACAAATAGCCAAAAAAACACCTTTTTGATTATAACACAAAAAGTGGAAGAAAAGACAATTTGGGCTAATCTACTCTACTTAAATGGAAAATCATTTAAAAACCTCAGTATGTTTAAGAGGAAAAAATCAATTTGTCCCATTCAAGTTTAACAAACTTACATACATACATAATGAAAAATCTTCCAAAACACTTATAGCAAGATGTAACTGTTGTCCACTCGTTCTGCTTCTTAGCCTTCATGCTGTGATGTCCCATCTCATAGCAACATCCCTTGATGACATCTGAAGCAACATCATTACCATTTGAATTCGATGGAACTGTAGTCAGAAAAATGAGACTTCTGTAAAAGAACAGTTAACGGTGGATCTTCTATATGTTCTCTGGAGTGTTGAGATTACTAATATACTTGGCTGTAAATCATCTCAGAAGTTTTGGGTTTTATTCTTCGTGTTGACCCAAACCCATAAGACAATAGCAGTGGAAGAATAGCTGGAAGTCATCCAGCTGCCTTCATTGACACTCCAGTCTGCCTCAGAATGATCCATCTTCCCTCCTCAAGATTGCAAGGGGAAAGACAGCTTTGACCTGGGTAGAAAATAGCACTTGCATTCTGGGTTAACAGCCTAAAGTCGACCACTAGGTCTTAGAGTCTTATCTATCATTTTTAAACTTCTTGAAACCATGAAATTTTGTTTGTGTTGTGTTTTTACTTACCCACAATTTCCTAAACCCACAACAAACATCTCCTGCAACATTGTTCAGCCATGGTGCTGAAACCAATCAGATCCCAACTTTGAACAATACATTTAATCATACGTCTTAGCAGAACCCAATCGAGAGCTTGAGCATGTGGGAAAAAGTTTTTTTAGGCGACAAGTTTCATTTGCCCTCTGGATCATGTGAGGGTTAAAAGATTCACGTGACAAGAATTCAAAGAAATCTGAAACCAATGTGTCACAGAAGAAATAATGAAAACTTTCACCTAGGATGGAAACAAAATATTATCAAATACATCTTGAAATTAAATTACTAAATTGAACAATAAACCCATTATACCCCTCCTGGAAACATTGTCCTCCAACCCATAGAGACCATGTTTCCCAAATAAGATACCTCAGAGTACCCATCTTCACATACAATGTTATTTCAAAGTCCTATGACTCATCATCAGGAACACTTTCTCCTGTCGAAAAGAATCAACAATGTTAAAAATCAAGCTACATAGTCATCAAGCCATGCAGGGATCATGCAGAGTCAGACAAAGTTCATGCGTCATGTCTCACAATGGTTCAACAATGGCATAGTCAGAAATCCATTGCCAAAAGCATTGTGTGCATCCCAAAATAAAATCACCTTTTGTCGGTGGGTCAGTGTTACTGTAACAGTCAGGAATTGACAAATCAATTCACATTCATTCAGTCTTTGCAAAGTCTAAGTCAGTCTCGAGATCTCATGTCCTATAGTAGTGCACTTTGATATTCTACCAGCTGGAGTTTTTACTAGTGACATCATTGTGTTGATGTCAAACAATGCAACACAGTGTTCCCGTGTTCGCGGCACAATTTTCTTCAGATGTTTAAACAAACAAATTATCAATAAACGTCATGAATGTACTGCCCCTAGGAAACACAAAGACTGACAAATGTTCATGCAAAGTATTCCTAAGTGAACCTGCAGTGTCTTTTTAATTAATATTCCAATTTAATCAATAATAATAACAATAATCAATTTTATCAATTTGTTTACGACATGCAACTCACTAACACATTTTTCCAAGTTCAGCATCAGCCTTCGTTACTCTAAAATTACGTTTACATAGGAATATTAGAAATGGAACAAATATTCAATCTTCAGAAATGTTCTCAATAAATGGAGAGTAATGCCATCTCTCCATCTAGGAAATAGCCAACATGTTTCAAAAATATCAGATATATAAAGATAAGCCTAAATACTCCTTTACTATCAAAGTCTAAAGCTAGACCTAAGGTGAACAGTTTTGGTAATGGATAATTTAATCTAAAAACAAAACAAAATTGGACTCGTGTACTTGTTATTTGTTCTTCAAAATACATTAGTAAATACTTTGTGAAGTATTCACAATATAACTAACCCTCTAGGATATCAAATGCGTTCATCTTTAACCAGATACTATTTCCCTATTTATTTTTAGTTCATGATAACAATGGTATAACGACCACACGTTTTACCCATAGCTAGTTTATATGTCATGATTGTCTAAGACGTCTAAGACATGTATCTTAACAAGGAAATAGGAATCCTGGAGTCTGTGTCATCGATCGACATATCAGATTGTGGAGTATCTACAAAGTAAAGTCATCCCTTGGCTCAGGTCATCTTCACACCAGTCTGTCAGTCCCCTGCAGTGCTTCGTTTGTAATTTAAAGTAATTCCTCCCCCTACTGGCCATTTGATTATATGTAAACAGTAAAGGCTGTACAGTCCCTGGCACCTTTTCAGAGGCTTTTGGTTTCCTCAATTATTTGTCATGTTCCTATGTCTTGACACCAGCATTTTAAATATATCTAAAGTCTGACTTCGCCTGTCAAAAGAGGTCAAATTTGTATTAATTAACAGTTCACCCAGGATATAACTGACCTGCAATCTGATTTATTTGCAGGTAAACCAGTGGCACTTTTTGACAAAAATCATCCTGACTGGGCACGTCTGTCAAATTGGGCCACGAGAAAATGACAGCACCTTCCCCTGCTACACATGCCAGGTATAAACGCGCCAGAAAAAGGTCATCCATCGCACGACTTGATCTCTACAGCATGGTATCTGATATACCATCTCCAGAAGAGCCCACACCAGTCCTCGAAGCCACTGGGGAAGAAGAAGGACTGATTGAACCAGAGACTCTGGCACTGCAACTCAGACTGATTTGCCTGGTGAAATGATTGACAAAATGTCATTTGAAATTAATAATGTAACAACAGAAAATGTTAACTTAAAAGAAAAGCTTGTAAAGTCCACCATTTCAGAGAGTACATTTAAGGGCGATGATGACCGTGTGCGGTTCTACACGGGACTTCCTACTTTTGCTATTCTAATGATGGTATACAATCTTGTGGAACTGCACATCAGTGTGAACCATAGACTGTATATATAAATGGACGTAGGGTCCGTGACGTCACCCATAGGATTCTGCAGAGTTGCCGAGAAGCCCTTAGTAGGCGGAGTCGGCCACTAACGGCTCGACAGTGGCGTCAGAGTCTAACTCCCGCCTGCTACATCCTGATCCAAATAAGGGCAAAGAGGCGGAGCCGTGGCGGAGACGAGGCGGGACAGGGCGGGACCTTCTGCCAACGGCCGTCAAGTTCCAGACCTAGCTCAGGCTAAGAAGCTAAGCTAACATGCTCACAGTATTAAGCTAACAACCCAGCTTGCGGTCACTGCTCCTCGTTCCCGGCGTTCTGAAGGTAAGATCCCCTGTAACTTTACAAAACTTGTCCTTTTGATTTAAATGTTCTTGAACCTACACTATACAATTGTTTTTTAAGTGCTTCACCGTTTTTCAAATATAAATGTCATTTGTAACAACTTTGTAAACTAGCAGAGATATGGCCAGTGTTGCGTGAATTAGCCTATGGAATTAGCCATAAACTAGGGCTGTGCAATTAATCGTATTTTAATCGCAATTACGATTTTGGCCTGCCACAATTACGAAAACAACATAATCGAAAAAAACGATTATTTTGCTTTGCTAGGTTGTGACAGTGCACTGCAACATATTTGATCAAATGTATTTGTATTTATCATATTTATATATGTTTAGTAGCTTGTTGAAGTGCGCTCCAAAATATTTGTTGATCTTGTTTATTGGTATTTATTATTTTGATATTATTTATTTAAATGTAGATATAAATGTATCATTTATTTTATTTATTTTTGTATTGGTTTTTCAGTTGAATTATACGCTCAGGGAAATCAACAGTTAAAAAGATACTGTTCAAATTATTATTTGTATTTAAAAGTTCAATAAATGGATGTTTTCAAAGTCAATGAATAATCGTATTTAATAATCGTGATATCAATTATTGACCAAAATAATCGTGATTATGATTTTTGCCATAATCGCACAGCCCTACCATAAACTGTGGCCTATACAGTATGTAAAGGAATTAGCGTATTGTGAATTAAACAAAGCTTTTCCCTATGATTTAACTGTTCTTGATATTACACTATACAAGTTTAAAAACGCTTGTCCATGATTCAAATATAAACAGTGTAATATGCATGGGCTAACAAATGCAAAATTTGCATATTTATACTTTTTGACCATCAATTGTATATACATTTAATCCAACGTTACTGTTTCAACAGCGCTGTGAGAGTATAAATTAAATATGACTGTAGAAAAAGAAAGGCGCTTTTATATTGATTAAACCATTTTTATTTCTTTCAGCATTAAGAAAAAAAGATGGCAACCTCCTCCACAACCTGTAAGTTGATGGTCCTGGCTTACTTTACATGACTTCAGATGGTTGACATTACACACAAACATACTATATCTATATACATATATATATATATATATATATATACGTCAGGTGTGATTTCATATGTTATGTTGTATGTTATTGTCAAAGGAACAACATGAGCAACCCTTTATACTTAATTTGATATTCCTCATTATCTGAAGCATTTGTTACTCTCATTTATTTTCCTCCCATAGTGACTGTATGGATAATCGGACAGCTATGTCCGGCGTGGAGCCCAGAGAGCTACAGAGACCATCGGCAGCAACCTTGACCTTCGCGCCTGCTGGTTCGGTTGGGGTGGACTGCGCTGGAGAGGTCTCCTCCCCTTCTTTTCCAACTCCCTGCGAGGAAGAGCAGCCCCGGATGTCCTCCTCATCCACTGTGGCGGCAACGACTTGGGGGATGTGCCCAGTGTTCACTTGGTGAATCAGATGAAGGAGGACCTGCACCAGCTTCACCATCGGCACCCTGGCATGAAGATCATGCTCTCCCAGATCAACCAGAGGTGCCGATGGAGGGCTGGTGCAAATCCTGTCAAAATTGACAAGGCCCGGAAGTTTGTTAACAGTGTTATGGCTACTTTTGTTCATAGCCTAAATGGTGCCATTGTTGACCACTCCAACATTAGACATGACAGTCCTGGGCTTTTTTTGCGAGATAGAGTTCATTTCACCCCTAGGGGAAATGATATTTTTTTAAAGTCACTAGCCAATTGCCTGAAAGACCATCTCCAAAGACTGTGAACTGCTAAAATGTCAGTATCACTGTTTTTGGATTTGGCCTTTAGAGTATGTTTTCTAAGGCCCTTGCTAAGCCCAGACTGTCATGGCTAATGTTGAGTTAGATATTACATCTGTAGCCATAACACTGTTAACATGGCTGCTCTTCCTCTTCCCCACATCCCACCCCCCCCTCTTCCCCCCAATGGACTCTGTAGCTCTCCAGGCCCATGCTGGGCATGGCTGTCTGTCAAACTTTTTTTTTTAATTTGTTATTATGTTTTTTGTTATTTTATTTGTTAAAATAATTCTGTAAATATTTAAAATAAATCACATTCATATTTTCACTTCTTTTGTCTACTGCTTACTGAAAATGTTAGCTATCACATCCAAATATGACTATCAAATGAAAGGATAAGCTAACCATACAATACAGAAAACATTACACATTAAGGCTCAAATCTTTTCCCAAGCCGTAGCAGTCTGAAAAGAGTCCCAAGTTTAAAAACACAAAATCTTGACAATGAATACTACCTTGTCATTTATCAGTGACAATGCAAACACCAAGAAGGTCTCCCCTAATCCCATGTATTTTGGCATCAAATATGTCATAAGCATACCATAGAATGTAATTATGAAATGCAATACCCACAATCCCTACAGGGTCGTAACATCACAGAAAATAATACCTTTTAGAGAGTTTCTAAATTGTTCAGTATGCAGATAATTATTTGTTTTACAATAGAAACATTTTTCTCAATAAATGTTCCCACATGTTGTGAGCATCAACTTTAAATCTTTTGTCAACAAATAAAAAACATCTTAATTTCCTTTACGACAACATTTTGTTTATAACACCACTACATTAACAATAAGCATAGGAAAATTATAAATGTATAATTTAAGATTGTGCTTTTACTCTATATTTAATCCGATCTATTTCACATTGAAAATGTACGACTTAAGTACACTAGAAAATAAATTAAAGATGTGCAACAAATGTATCAGTAATTAAAATGATATAACTTATGTTCAGGGTTGGGAGGGCTACTTGCCAAAAACGCAACCAGTAACTTAATGTGAGTATCAAGATATAAAAGTACTGTAACCTGATAACTTTATTTTTCTTTTGGATTACCTCAATATCAAATGCAATGCAAATAAACACAGGAGAGAAGAAATATTAATATGATTTTTTTACTTAAATGTATAATATACATAAAGCTGACTCAGGCAGTAGGTGTATTGATTCACAATTAAAGTATTAGCCTACAGAACAGTACCGCTTCCAGAGAAGAGAGAACATCTGATCATTTTACAACAAACACTATATGCTCTTTTCAGGTTTTGAATAAGATTGTAATCCTGAGTTTCCCTATTATTAAAAAAAGTCAAACTAATCCGATTACATCTTTTCCTATGTAACTAAGGATTACACTTTCCTTTTTTTCTATACGATCTTGATTCGTGTTAGATGTAATCCATTACTACCTAAGCCAATAAAAGTCATAACTTTTGGAAAATTGTCTCAAGTTATAAATTATGCCTTCAATCTCTTTCACGTGGGGAAGACATCACATTGGCCGAGGCGTTGCAACTTCCCTCAAGCGTCCTACATGAAAGAAAGATCACATGTTAAAAATGTGTGCACAGACTATTCAGTATGACCCGTCTTAGTTTAAAGCCCACTCACCACGACAAGGTCAATCAGCAATTTTATATGTTCAAATGTCTACTGTGAAGGATATCATAAATCCTTAATGCAATCGAATGTAAAACAAAAAGGTTATGATTGATGAAAGTAGTAAATCGGTCAGATTTGACCCGAAGACAACAGGAGGGTTAATGCCATATTCACTTAATAACGCATGAACAACTTTTACAAATATTTCTATATAGTCTGTGTTGGTAAATGTCATCTAGGTTGCACATTTCCTGCTGAAATACATGCATACCAAGTTACTGCGTGGCACTTTGGTTTTGATAAAACAGTGTAGTTCCACTATATAAACGTTACATTCATAATCAAACGAGACAATCTGCAAGATAATGAGCTATTTGTTGTTATTTGTAATGCTTGTCATTCACACGTTAATAAAATAAAATAAGTACCGATACATAGCAGAACAATTGTGGCGATGTTCAGCTTAATAAGCCTTGTTCAACATAATTTATTTAGCTAATACTACAGCGGGCTGCAGGCGAACCAAGTCTGCGTTTCGCTGCATTCCTTGATCTCCAGTTATAATGCCGGACTCCGCCGCCGGCCGAAGCTAACGGAGCCGCCGGGACGCGCTAGCGAGCTAGCCCCCTGTTAGCTTCGGCCGGCGTGGACTCCGGCGGCCACCACTGGGATAATTGGGTCCCCTTTTAACATTTGCTCCCGTTTAGCATTATGGGCGTCACAGCCATATACTATAAAAGGCTGAATCATAAACTAAACTGTATATATATATATACACATGTATAAAGGGTTACGTCCTTAGCTGGCTAATAAGCTACATAATAAGCTACATAACAAGCTAAGCTAACAAGCACACAAACACCTGCTAACGGGATTAACATGTATAATATTATCATTTTACTCACCGAAAAAAGCTGAGAGTAGACTTCTTGGAAGGTCTGTTAGTACATTCAAGCGCACAGCACTACATTTCAATTGTCTGGTATTTGTAACAATATTCCCTAAAAGGCACAATCACCACGAACACGGCTAAAGGGTCAAGTACAGTAACTACAACTAACTAACGTTGTAGCCTAGCAGAGTGGACAAATTGCTGTTAGCTGACAGTGAGGCACGTACCTGTCCATCAAAGTGACCACGCCCTAATTTATGCAAAAACTTTAAGACCTAATATAAATAAAAGGGTCATGTTAGAAAACAATTCACTCACAGATTCATAATCACGAAGGTGGAATCTAACTATATACATAATAAAATGTATTGGAGCCAGGGCTAGAAACGTTTTTTTTCTGCTGTGAAATTGGGCATTTTAACATTGGGGTCTATGGAAATTGCTCCTTTCTGCAGTCATCGCCTATCGGCCAATTTATGAACTGCAGTTTGTGGCACTTCCGTATTGGCGTCCCGGCTCTTCCCCTGAGTTTGCCGCTTGGTGTGAACGCTAAGAGTTCACTGTCTACATTTCAACAGTTTATACTGACACTAATGAAATTAAGATTAAACCAACCCCTGCAAGAGCTGGCTTATAAATTCAACACATCCACGTTGACAGTATCCCGTGTGTTTACCTTGATTATCGACGTCATGTTCAAACGTATGAGTTTCCTTTTGAAGTGGCCATCTCGAGAGGAACTCCAACTGACAATGCCTATGGATTTCTGCACTCATTTTGGTACTAAAGTGGCTGTTATAATAGACTGCTTTAAGTTTTCATTGACAGGCCATCAAAGGTAATGGCACGGGCTCAGACTTGGTCAAACTACAAACATCACAACACCATAACATTTCTGATATGAATCTGTCCGCAGGGTGTTATATCATTCATTTCAAGGGCATGGGGTGGCAGGTCCAGCGATAAGCATATTACAGAAAATGGTGGCTTCTTAGATAACTTTTCGCCTGGTGATTTGATTTTGGCAGACCGAGGTTTCAATATAAGTGACTCAGTGGGTTTCACGTGTGCTGAGGTTAAGGTGCCTGCATTCATGAAAGGCCGGAAACAATTATCAATGAAAGATGTTATTGACACAAGGAAAATTGCTAACGTGCGAATTCATGTTGAGCGTGTCATAGGATGTGTAAGGCAGCGATAAACCATTTTGGGAGGACCAATTCCTATAGACTTTTACTTTCTAAAGATGTAGATGGGATTACATTGATGGATAAAATAGCTGAAGTGTGCTGCGACCTGAATAATTAGTGTGATACTGTAATACCCGTTGATTGAGCCTTTACATTCTGTTACACCCCAATCAACCCATATCAGATTTAAAAATATGACATGTTTGTATTGTAATTATTATTACATTATTGTCAATGTTGTACTTGGTCAATTAAATGTCTTGATAATCAGAGCAGTGATTTGGGGTTTGGTTGTGTAGGGGAATGTTTGAACAATTATTTAAGCTGTTTCCAGGCATGGAAGATTAATGTTTTTCTCTCAAGTTTTCTATTGTCAGATTGGACACATCCCAAATCACTTGATGGTTTCAGACCTGCACTGCACACTGTAATAGTACTGGTAGAATATTTAAGCTTGGGTAAATACATTTTGAAAAAAACAATTGAAAGGGCAAAGTATTATATTTATTACAGGTTTCCAAGTTACCCATTGAAAAAGGGTGAAAAACAAGTACATGCTCCTGAGATCAGAGATCACCTCACATAACAGAGATAGATTAACATTGTGTCCATATTACAGTTTCTTTCAATGCTAAAACACATTTTTTGAAAGCAGGGCTTATTTTCTCAAAACCCTAAACACAAAGTGCAAAACACCTCATATATACTGCAGGATGAAGCACTGCACCCAGAACTACAGAAACACTTACCAAAACCAAACTTTTGCACCAAATGGCACACACCTCATTTATAGTACAAGACATTTTGTAAAACCAACTACACACCATCGTGCTCAAGCACACTCATCTTTTATGGCGTTTGATAGAGAATTCTGCAAACAAAGATTGTTCAAGTCTTCAAAATATGTGCAGAAACACAAATATACTGTTGGCATACTTTCACTTTTCAAAAAGTGGAAAGTTGAATTGCAAATTGGGTGCAGAGCTGAACATGTGTTTAGAGTTTGGGAGATTTGAGCTGAGGTTTTGCTCTTTCAGTGTCAGTTTAAATAATGATGCTTTGTGTCATTTTAGTGTGCACAACTTGTTTTGATCGTTACACTTACATGTTCTTTATATAGATTTGAGGTAAAAGAAACATGTTCAATCAAATAAATATATACACTGTCATTCAGATCGATTAGTACTTCTGTTTCTTTTGAGAGAGGACATGCTGATGACATTTGTCACAATACCAGCTTCCTTTGGGGGCAACTGTTATCCCAACACATTCAAAATGAAACCAGGTAGTTTCACAATTTGTGTTATCACATCCTATCATGGGAAGCTTTTCCTCTCCACGACAAAGGCACCACTTGGGTATCAGTGGTTGGGTATCAGTGGGGTATCGGTGGTTGGGTATCGGTGGTTGGGTATCGGTGGTTGGGTATCAGTGGTTGGGTATCAGTGGTTGGGTATCAGTGGGGTATCGGTGGTTGGGTATCGGTGGTTGGGTATCGGTGGTTGGGTATCAGTGGTTGGGTATCG